GAACTTACAAATAGATGTGTATACTTTCATCTCGGGAAAAAGTTAGCAACTCTTGGAGGATGTAGAGGTCAGTGATGTCTCCAGAGATTTGAAAGTGTAATTAAATGTTCTGAAATTCACTGCGTTTGTCTTACCCAACAAGGCAGCATAAACTTTTGTTATTGTACTATCTGTGTATATGTATGCGTGTACTCATAACTAAGTAAAGCTTTTGTTATTATAGAAGATACTAAAATAATCTTCTAGTTTTTATTTCAAAATGAGTATATATTCTGCCATATCATTCTTTTTTCCATAGAAGTTATTTGTGAGCATACAGCCATTCTACAATTTTGCCAGGAATCTCATGCTACCATTCAGTTTTGTGAGAACTTACTTGGTAGCATAGTTTATGGCCTTGATAGATAAAGTGAGGCAGATTCCTTCTCCTCACATAAATTGGTCAGACCCCAGTCACTAGCTGAGAATTTGCCATCTGTCTTTTCAGAAAGAACACCTTTTTGTAGGGAACTTTAGAAATTCAGCTTCCAAACTTTTCTTGCTTGTATAGATCTCACTTAAGTCTCCCATTTTGGACATCCACTTGCCCATAAAAGATTTTGTTTGTTTCATCTCTTAGCAGTAGCATGGGCTTCTAGGCTCCAAGAGCAGATGGTGCCACCCATGAACTTTTTCTTTTGCCTCTTCAAAAACTATCCCATCCTTGCCCTGAACGGACCAGAGGAGTCCCTTAAGACAGATGCTCTTTCTGCCCATATGCCTCACATGTACCATGTGACCTAAGTAACAGAACACAAACTTTCCTGCTGCTGGGTACACAAAGTGTGTGTTTTTCCTAAGGAAAAGCTCAGACGTGACGTAAAACGTGAGAGGGCACAGTTTCCTATAACCCGTTCAGTACGAATGGCTTGCAGTCCCTCTAGCTGGACAAAAGCTAGATCCTATGATTTCAGGTCTTAGAGAATTCTGCCAAACACTGACCTTTTGGGTGTTTTCCATTAGGTCTCCAGCTGTTTTCAATCCATCTAAATAGTTTTGGCTAAAAAATAAATTATAAATTGTAATAAGGAGGTTTGTTCCAGCATTCATATTTATTAGATTTTAAGTTTTAATGACCATATGGGCCTAAAACAAATCTTTGATTTCTTTTTTAAATAGCAGTGAGGTAGAGTCTCTTGATTTTGACTATTTAAATATTAATTTGTGGTCATAACCCACTTTTGGCTCCTGTAAAAGGTATGGCTTTTTTAAAGGGAGGTTTCCATCAAATAGCAAAGAGGAGCAGATGCAACTTTAAATTAAAAAAAAAAGATTTTTCATATTTGTTGTAAAATACAACTTGTGTCAGTTGAGCTGGGACCTTTTGGAATGTTCCATGAACTTCTTCTGTAAGGAAATGAGACTCTGGTTGATTTTGTATAGTTAATGGTGGAAGGACTATTCATTCATTTTTATTTATTTTTAAGTTAATATTTGATTACCGCAGTGGGATGTGAATATGGTATTTTTTTAGGTTTTTGCCGTAGTATGCAGGCATTTGCCAGAGAGATGGAGAGAAGGAAAGTGAGAAATCATCCCCATCCCACCCGCCCCCTACCCTGACCCCGGGGGGATGGCCACACCACAATCCCTTTTCCTCCATTCTCTTCTCAGGATTTTGGGCACACATGCACATACTCCTGTATGTTTTCATGCCCATGGGTTCAGGACTCAAACCATGGTTAGCCACATCAGAGTCCACCACACAACCTGCTGATTCAGATACAGTACTTTTATAAAATGATTTTAAATAAGGCTAAATTTTCCTCAGATTAGTCTCCTTTATCTCTGCCCCTCTTGTGCCCCACCGAAAATATCCCTCGTATTGTTTTGATGAGAACTATCATGGATAGTAAATGCTGTGTGTGTGTGTCTGAGTGTGTAGAACACCTGTCTGCTATTGTACCTGCCTTTCTGCAGGGTGCTGTCTTCATCCAACATTGTGTTTTGAAGACCACTCATGTGTTACCTGTAGAGAGAACTCATTCCTTTTAACCTAACCTCTATGCTGATAGGTTGGTCACCTCTCAGTTAATGTGGCAATAGAACTTCCAGTTACTTTGACTTTTCCTTTGTACCAACCGTGCTACAAGGGACATCCTCATGAATGCACCTTTGGATATAGGTGCAAATGTTTCTCTGTAACAGTATTAAAACTGCCTGGGGGCCAGCAGTTGGCTTAATGGTTACATCACTGGACTCCCGCACAGTTGAATACAGTCCCAATCCCTGACCTGCTGGCTTAAAACTCACTCTGGCCATGTGTACATGCGTGCCCAAGATCTCGAGAGGGGAATGGAGGAGAAGGGATTGTGGCTGGCCCCCTCGCCCCGCTGGGGGTGGGTGGTGATTTTTCACTTTCTGACTCTCTGGCAAGCGCACATGTCCAATAGCAAAAATCCCTCTCTTAAAAACAAACACACAAAACCTGCCTGTTATTTTATGTATGAAGCTCTTAAGAGCCAGGGAATTTAAGATTGGCCAATGTCTTATACATGATTCTCAGGGTTTGGACTGAAACCATTTTCCCCGACCCTCATCTCTGCAGATATGTTTTTCTACACAAAAATACATCTTGACTTTTCTGACGGTCCAGTAGATACTTGACAAGTTTTTGTTAAGGTCATTGAGATCCTGGTGGAGGCAAATACAGTAACTATGGTGAAACCTTTGCTTATTCCATTTAACTAAGAATATCTGAACTTGGGGAACATGTGAATGTTAAGATGCAATATTACATCATTTTGAAGTGCGTAGAGTGATCCACATTAATATAACTTAAAAATCCCTTAAGCAAATCACATTAATGACCAATGAAAGCACCTTTTACTGTGTTTTTAAGCATAAAGACAGTGCCAGTTTGTGGGCACAGTGGTGACACAACTGGACCCAAATGGGTGGGTCCTTGGTTCCTAACAGGACCTCTCTGTGCGTGCCGGGCAAGCATGTGTGGGCCTGTGATCCAGGCGAGGCAGAACTGGAGTGGATTGCGGTGTGGAAACCCTGTTGAAAGTGCCTGTCTCTTGGTCTCTCTTCTTGCTCATAAAAAAAAGAGACTTTTTTTTTAAAAAAAAGGAAATAACATGTCAAAATTGTTCAATATGTTATTATCTACAGGTGGAGTAACTGTCCTACAATCTTTTTTATATATAAATATGCTTTGGGAATTATTTTTCTCCAGTTATAGCAAGATAACCTTCATCACTTCTTTACTGAATGATAAAAATTAGCCGAGCAGGGTGAAGAGGTGGACATGGGAGTAACTAGTTTGCCAGGAACGAGGATTTTAAAGCTTTTCTCTTATTTCATTCTCTTCACAATCTTGTGATGGGAGTCTTAGATTTTCTATTTCATAAGTGGAGAAACGGAGGCATAGAGAGCTCTAAAGCAACTCGCTAAAGTTGTCTGATTCGAAAGAGTCATATTCTTTCTACTGATACCATAGTTTCCTAAAGTGTGGCCCTCTGACTTCTTGCCTCACACTCCCTGGAAGAGTTGTTCATTTGAAATATTCCTGGGCCCCTGTAAGGAGGCCCGGGGGCTCTGCATTTCTGACACGCTGCTGAGAATACATTATGCCCTCCGAAGTCTCAGAGCCAGTCTGCCAAGCTGTGGTGACCTCGTTCTGGTGATGTGAGAAGTCTTGCCAAAGTGCCTCCCTGTCTCTTAGGACTGTTAATTCTTATCATGCCTGACTTGCAGGGGACGTATAGGCAGTGCCATCTGGGTGGCTTCCTCCTTACTTCCTCACTCCTATTGCCTGGTATTACTTGCTCCCAAGTTAGGAAGGCTCATGATTTGACGCACAGGAATCCTTTTAAAAGACAGGTTGCAATAAACCACCAGATCTCAAATGTATCATTTGCACTTTGTCCTCATGGCATCTGCATTTTGCATTCTACCCCCTGCTGTACCAAACTGATAAACAGAGGCTGTAGTGGCAGCTTGCAGAAACTATCACTTTTGAAACACCAGTATATGCTTTGTTTTCCTTTTCACCTCACTTTCCCACACTCCCCTGGTGGTAGATTTCCCCTAAGTCTGCCCCTGATTGCTGCTGGCTTTCCTGAAGTGCGGAGATCACCTTTCCCTTCCAGCCCTCCCACTAAGGACAGAGTTTTGGGAGCGCCAGCTAGGTTCAGGAGCCCTTCTGCCTCCTCTGCCTTTCTCTTTCTTTAGTAGTATCTTTTTTTCTCAGCTCTGTAAAAATTTTTTTGTTCACTCCCAAACGGCATGCTTTCCCCTCCAGGGGCTAGTCCAGGCTCCAACCCTTTCCAAGAAGCTCAATAGGAAGTTGCCGGATGACTGACAGGCTTCGAGATGTGCTGATAATCGGGAGGACAGCCTAGACCTGGATTTGTGTTCATATATTATCCTTCTGCACTGGCAAGAGAGCATCCGTCTTTGTTTTGGTGTTGAGCTCATCCAAATAAAGAAGGCATTTCCTCTTCAGAAAGGCAGAGAAACGGAGAAAGAAAAGAAAAAAAAGACCAAAAAAATTTAATTTTAACCATGTACTGCTTTGAAACTAAATATATGCCCCTTCCTCTGTCCTGATTGGTCCACTTCGATTGACAAGTGGATCGTGTGGAAAGGAAATATCCGGGACTTAATTGTAAGTTAAGTCTCTCTTAATCCAGAAGAGCATTTGAGATTCTGTCCAAGTGTTCAATTTCCCAGGCCGCTGAGGTCTGTGAATTTCTTTTCCCAGCCTCCAGGCTGCTGCAGTACAAGTCAGCATAGCTAATGCAGATAGATCTCCTGCCTCTCGCTCTCCTCCTCCCTCTGCTTTGATTCGATATGAACAGCCTGGTAACTCCGATGCTGGGGAGAAATCTGACATAACTCTGCAGATGGCTAGGTTGCCATGAAACACCTGGGGATTGTTCTTTAAGGAAAAGGTAACATTTATATGCTAATGATTTCTTTCCCCCTCCCCTCCTTGTTGCATTATTTTCCAGGGCTGCCAGTTCCCAAGAAGAGCCCAAAGTCGGTAAGGACTTGTCAGTTACTTGGGGCTTGTTGCGGGGAGGGCCGGAGTGGGGGTGGTGGGGAGGGTACATTGTCTGGCTTCACTTCACTAAATGTGTTTTAGAGTGGATGGGCAAGCAGGAGCCAAGGCTCATTTTATTAAGTTCTGGAGATCTGTTTGGTATAGAAGGTATTTGGGCTTGTCTTTAACTGTGATTTGTGAGCAGGCTGCAGGAGCCAGGATAAAGAATGTATATTTGGAATCTTTACACAAATGCCTCACAACTCTCCTTCAGATGGATGAGTGTCCTAGCTGTTTTAACTTGCTACAAATGCTATTGTTTCCTTTGGAAACAGGGAGGGAATCTCCACCTGCTCCCTGAAAGCTTTGCTCTCAACTGGTGTCCCTAGCCATTCACATGGCACCCCCTTCTCTCCCGGAGCTTCCTTATGCACTGGATGATGAATTATTTAAGAAACGAAGAGCCTGTGGGTTTAAGAAAGAATTGCTCTGCCCCATATATGTGTCCATGCCCAGGTGGAACTGTGTGCACTGCCCCATTACAGAGAAGAAGTCGTTTCCTTGCTCTGGCTATGTCCTTTGTTGTTTTGCTAGCTTTAGCAGCATTACGCTGCAGGTATAGGATTCTTAAAAAAAAAAAAAAAAA